ACATGCACGCGTGAGAAACAAACCCCAGAGGTGAGCAGTGGGCTCAGAGCTCCATGAACAGCCCCAGAGCCCCGGCCCCCTTCTCAGTCTGCCCCCATCTGTCTCTGCCCCCAGATCTCGGTATCCCCTTTCTCTCTGGGTCTCAGAGGGCCTTGGAGGGGCTCCTCTTACCAGCTGGGGCAGAGCTGGAGCGGGCACCGCTGTCCCTGTTCCTCCACGCATGGGGACCTGGGGGCTGGCCTTGCAGTGGCTGGGCTGGGCTGGGGTACAAGCCAGCCAGCTGTGCTGCGCTGCCGTGCCGCGCCCAGCCACATGGACAATAAACCTGAAATTGGCTTGCAAAGTGGAAGTGCTCTCGGCTTCGGGGAAGCGAGCCTGCGCTCAGAACAGTGTGTGCGGGACGCTCACAGACGCGCTGGCTGCCCGCTCCGCGTGGGGGTGGGAAAGGGTTTTACAAAGCCCCAAAGAAATGTTTTCATGAAATTCCTCTTGTTCTTGGCCTTTTTCTTTTCTGGACATTCCAATGAGAAGAATGGATCTGGGGCTTCGGATCTCTCCTGCCGGCTGGGAAGCGACCGCAGGGACGAGGCCGGCAGCTGGGCTGGGGCTGGAGGAGGGGCGCCCACCCTGGCAGGTGCTCTGCCCCGCTCCCCGCCGGTCCTATGGCCCCTGTTCTGGTTCCCACCCGGCCCGGTCACCAGAGCCTTGGTCACAGCTGGCGTGGCTCTCAGCGTCCTGTGACCTCTCCCGCTAGGCTGCTCTGTGCCCATGTTGGTGTCTCCAGAGCAGACCTTAAGGCAAGGCCACCCCAGGAGGTCCCCAAGTCCTAACATGAGGACAGCCACCCTACCCAGTGCCTACACTGACAACCATGCTGGGGGACACGGGCATGGCCTGGTGAGGATGGTGGGGGGGTGGCCGCTCAGAGGCTGCGTCCAGAGCAAGCGGTCTCCAGGGACGCCCTGACCGGCTGCTGACGCACCGGCCCTGATGACTCACGTGTGGATGACCGTGACTTGAGTGGCCGTCTGGAGCCTCGCACTGAATGAGGGCTGCTGCCTTCCTGGGGACCAGCCGCCCCCTGTCTGGGCCCAGCCCGAGTGACAGGTCCTTCCTCTCCTTAGTCATCGGCTGGGTCACCCTCTACTCGTGCCCACCTCAGCCTGGGCCACGCCTCGCTGTCTCTGCTGCCATTGGGTGCCTGCCATTGTGGCCTCCTCCTCTCTGAGCACCAGGGATGGTGGGGGCTTCGGGGACAGTGGTGTCTTCTGTAGGACAGGGGAGAGCGCAGCCATGTGGGGTGTCCACTGCCTGGGACATGAAGGGGTGGGGGCGGACTGGACTCTCCCCTCTTGGTTCAGATGGGCCTGTCTCCTGGGCAGGGCTGTCCTGACTGCTAAAGAGGAGCCTTTGGATTCTTGGAGTGCAGTTGTCACACGCGGACGGAAACACAGTCATAGTCACAGCCCCAAGGGCAGGGCCGTCTGCCCCCACCTTGTAGCCAGGGCCTGCGTGGTTGAATGTCCCTGAGCTCCCAGGTCAAGAGAACTGGCATGACCCAGACTGCTGGCCGCAGAGACCCCGTCCTGGCCCCTGTGCCTCCTCTCAGAGGCCCTGCGGGTCACTGGTGCCATCCCTGCCTTCCAGGTCACTGAGGAACCCAGACACCCATGCCCAGGAAGGCTCCTGCACACCTCTCTGGTCCTCCACTTTGCAATGGAGATGGCAGCGCAGGGGAGGGAAATGTAGGCACCTTCATCTCTGTCCTCCCTGGGGCAGTGCCACACCCAGCTGCTCTGCCCTCTGGACGAGTTCTTGGCACACAGGGGCAGGAGTCCCTCCCCTGCCGGGATGGAGGGTCAGTGTTGGCCTCCCTTCTGGCCGTCATCTCGGTGACTCCCCCACCACCCCACTGACCCTGTTCCTGGGTTCCCTTCTGCCGGGAGGTGGGGGTGGTGAATGGGCCCTGGCGCTCCGAGATGGCAGTTCCTGTGGGTTCCAGTTCAATCAGTGCCGATTGCCAGTACAGTTTGAAAAGGAAATTGCACCCATACCCAACATGGACAGACTTTTTTCTGTTACTACTCCCCAAACAATGCATCATCATAGCCCTGTGCTTAGCACTTACCCTGTGTGAGGCCCCCTTGTCACCGAGGGGTGGTTGGTCTATGGGAGGCTGCCCATGGGCTCCAGGCCAACACCAACCCACCCCACGGAAGCCACCTGAGCATCTTGGCGCCCCCGTGGGGGTCTGGGACCCCACTCCTCGTGGACCTGAGGAACCGCCGTGTCATGCCAGTCTCAGAGGCAGTCTTGGGGTCAGGGCTCTGGGGGTCGTCCTGCTCCTGCCCCCACTGGGACAACTGTGAGCCCTGCTGCTGGGCAGCCCGATAACTCCGCGCTGAGGTGCAGCCAGCCCCTCTCCCTTTCCTGTGAGCTGTCCTGGCCCTTGCGCCTCTTCCACCCAGGTTGCTGCCTGCACTGATTTCCTGGTGCTCTCCAAGCAGAGCAGCACACTGCTGTAGGGTTGAAGGTGCCTATGTTTCCCCATCCTGTGCTGCTGTCTTCATTGGAAGTGAGGGACCAGAGGTGGGTACTCAGAAGGCAGGGATGGCACAAGTGACTGGCAGGGCCTCTGAGAGGCAGCATGGGGGCCAGGCTGGGGTCCCCAAGTGGCTTGCGATGCAGCTGCCCCAGCACGAACCTCTCTTCCTGCAAAAACCTCATGTGCATGCCTGCCCTTGGGCACAGAGGAAGCACAATACGCTTCCCTGCACCACCTGGTCTCCCTCAGGAGGGATGAAGTGGCAGCTGGAAGCGCAGTGGCAGAGGCTGGTAGGGGCCATGGGGGGGTCTGGGAGGCAAAGCTTCTACACCAGACCAGCGCCCTCACCTGCTGCTGTTCCACGAGAGGCTCTAGCTTCAGGCTTCCTCTGCCTGGCCTTCGGGACCCATGGCGGGGGGTGCTCGGGCAGCCGGGAGTGTCGGGGTGCAGACTCCTGAGTTCCCTTTCAAGATCCTTGTGTGGCCACTGCATCTTCACAGGCACCAGTTCCCCTGGGCGGGGCATCAGGGATGCCAGCGCCATGGCCATCAGGCCCGTGTGCGCCCTGGAGCTTCCAGGTCATGCAGGGCGCTCGGGAATTCTGACTCTCCCCGGTCCTGTCCTTGCCTCCTGTCTCTGATCAAAGCTCTGGCCTCTCCTCCAAAATGTCCCCTCCAAGCAGGTGCTCAGAGCATGCAGTGGTCACCTTGCATCCTGTCTTTCCCCTGCCCCTACAGAAGCTGTGAGTGCCACAGGGCAGGCCCAGGCCCACCAGTGAAGCACTGGCCCAGTGCATGCACGCGTGAACGGATGGATATTTGGCTGAGGCGAGGGCCCTGGGGTCAGGAGCTCTTAATGTGTAGCCCTGGGGCTCACTCGACCGTTGTTCCTGACTGGCCTAGACATCCCAGACTGTGCTGGTGGTCCCTGGATGTCCCTGGTTCTAGGTGACAGGCCTACTTCTGGCCCGGTTCCCCCACTGGTGCCGCAAGGGCAGGGCTGCTCTATCTCTAACAGCGTCCAGCTGCCCAGGGGCTGGGCAGAGGGGTCACAGGAGCAGCCAGGCACTGCAGCCACAGAATAGCCCTGACCATGGTGGACCCGGGACCTTCGACGTCCTCTTCACAACCCTCAGGACTTAGGTCTGTCATGCGGCTTGGAGGCTGAAGGGGCTGAGGCAGCAGCCCCAGGTCAGGTGTGCGGTGCAGACCTGGGCACCCCTTCCACCTGGTGGGGCATGGAGTCTCCAGCTCTGCCTGGGCCCCAAGGCTGCCCTTCCTCCTCAGCCTGCAGGAGGTCTCTGGCCAGCCACCAGCACCCTAGTACCCAGCCCTCTGGCACCTCAGCATTGGTTGCTGCTCCAGATGGCCATATGCTGGGCTCTGACTGACTGCCTGTGTCCTGCCTGCAAGGGACTCACAGCTTCCCACCCGGTGCTGCTGTGTCCCCTCGCTGGATTCCCCCACTTCTGGCAGGTAGGGCTGGAGCACAGGCACCTTGCTCCGCCCAGCCCTGGACAGCTCCACCTATAGCCCCTGTCCACCCTTTCTTGAGGGTGTCCAGAGGGCCTCGAGGTGGGCAGGGCCTCTGAGCACAGCAGCTGCCTGGGGTGCATGCCAGTGTGTGCCTCGAGTGGGTGCCAGCTCCATAGCTCAGTATTGTGTTGGGGTGGCGGGCCAAGGGACCAGGAGCCCTCACCCCCTCCCGCACATTCTTGGAACAGCCAGTGCCCAAATTCCTGGCCCTCGCTGTGGGTAGGCGGCATCCCAGGGGGCCACTGGCCTCTGGGAGATGTGGTGCGGCGGAGGGTGGCCGTGGCCTGGGCAGGGGGCCCCAGGGTAGGGATCCTGGCCATGGGCTCTGGCCATGCAGGGCCTCAGGGACCCTGAGGGGCTGGGGGTGGGCAGTGTTTACACAGAACCTGGGAGAGTTCTCATGTCCCTTGTTTTCATTTTTGTTTTTGGTGGTGTAGATGAAACCCAGCGCCTTCACACTGAGCTGCATCTCGGCCCTTTTTTACTCTTTATTTTGAAACATGGTCTCGCTAAGTTGCTAAATTTCCCAGGCTGGGTGTGCACTTGTAATCCTCCTATCTCAGGCTCGAAGAGTGCTGGGATGACAGGCCTGTGCCACCACGCCCGGCTCAAAGCTGTGTTAAGGTAGATGGACAGTGCGGCAGCATTTGGTGCATTCACAGTGCCGTGTAGCTGCCTCTCTGGGCCCAGAGTGATTCCTCACCACGAGAAGAGGCCTGTGCACACACACCCCTCTCGCCTCCACCCCACAGCCCTGAGTGCCCACCAGCCCGCTCCCTGTTCCTATGGACTTGCACCCTCTGTGGCCTTTCGTGTGGCCAGCTTCTGCCACCCAGCACCCGTCCCAAGTCTCCTGTGCTATCCCATGTGCCAGAACCGCGGGCCTCTGAGCCGTGTCCCCAACTCTGCTCTCCCCTCAGCATGGCCGATAAGCACGGGGCCCTCAAGTGCACCTTCTCGGCACCCGGCCACAGCGCCAGCCTCCTGCAGGGTCTGGCTGCCCTTCGTGCGCAGGGCCAGCTGCTGGACGTCGTGCTCACCATCAACAGAGAGGCCTTCCACGCACACAAGGTGGTCCTGGCTGCCTGCAGCGACTACTTCCGGTGAGCACTGTGGGGGCCGGCACCACTGCCAGGGACACCAGGAGGGACAGGAGTGGTGTGGGGTGCTTTTCTGCTCTCTTAGACCTGCTGGGTCCTCCTTTGCTGTCACATGTGGGGCAGAATATGCTTGGTGGACAGAGTTGGCCGTGGGCACCTGCTCAGCAGTGCCACCTGGGGCATGACGGCTGGGGTTGGCAGGACATTCATTCAAAGTCTTTTATTTTTAAAGCCAACTGGGAATGGAACCCAGGGCCTTTGACCTGAGCTGTACCCCCAGTCTTTTTCATTTTTTATTTTAAGACAGTCTTACTAGTTGCTGAGTTGTCCAGGCTGGCCTTGAACTTGTGACCTTCCTGCCTCAGCCTCCTAGAGTCTTTATTTGATACCTACTGTATGGTAGGCAGTGGTCTAGGCCTTGGGGATCCAGCATGGCATCCACACTCTGGGTACCTAAAGCAGAACAGCCAAGGGGTGGGAGGGGCTGGAGAACCACAGCGGCCCTGTGTCTTGCCAACGTCTACATTGGGCTCTGTGCCTTGCACAGTGGCCACAGGCCTGTTGGGCATCTGGGTCTATCCATCTTTCCTGTACAGTGGCTGGGCTGGAAGTGAGGCTCACGGGAGCTGGTGGGTGGGGCAGTTCCCCTCACTAGCTGTGGGTCATCGTGGCTCTGGGGCTGCCCCTCACTCCCTTGGTGACCAGCTGGACCACCCTGTCCAGCATGCACCCGAGGCCCGGCTGCCTGCCCTGTGGGCTTGGTGAGGTCGTTTTGGGGAGCCACAGCAGCCAAGCCAACTGGGGCGCTGCTGCTATTTTTGTTTCAGATTTGGGGACGGGTGGGCCTGCCCAGCCAGCAATGCCCTTTAAAGGCTCCCCTGCACTGGCACTGCAGCTGACAAGGCCTTAAAAGGCAAAGCTCCGTCCCGTCGTCACCCGTGGCCCACTGCCTCCGTTTTATCACAGTGCCCGAGGGCCGTGAGGACGGGAGGGGACAGGCAGGGGCCAGCAGGGGGCCGACAGCTCCCTCACAGATGTCCTCCCGCTGGTACCACTGAGGCAGGCCATGTGCCACACAGTGGACAGGGGACATCCCACACGCAGGCAGCCGTCAGGGAAGGTGCCTGGATTGCAGGAAGAGTCAGTGTGAGCCAGGTGGGCGCTGGGGGACAGACCTGCAATCCCAGCACTCTGAGAGACTGAGGCAGGAGGATTGCAAGTTGAGCCCAGCGTGGGAATTTAGCGACTTAGTGAGATTTTGCCTCAAAATAAAAAATAAAGAAGGGATGGAGTTCAGTGTGAGAGCCCTGGGTTCAAAAGCAAAAACAAAAAAAGAAATGTTGTGAGTGCCACCCGCCCTGTGGGAAGGCCTCCCTGGGCTCCGAGTGAGCACTGGTCCTCTCCCATGTCCTTGGGGGCTGTGACCTAGAACCTGAGCCTCCCCACTGGCCTCTGCCTGTTCCCTTGTCCCTGTGCCAGCTCCCTCCTGGCGCTGCCTCCCACAGCAAAGCAGCTCATGGGGTGGGAGGGGCACCTCCTGTCCTCCTGGGCCTCTCTCTGACCCAGGGCAGCCCTCAGCAGCGCCCCACACCTGAGGATGCGCAGCACTTGCCTGTCCCCATGGCTTCGGAGACTGGGCCGAGGAAGCAGGGCCTGTGTGAGCAGGTGGTAAGCAGGCCCCCACTGCAGAAGTCACACTGGCCACTGCACTCCTGCAATGCTGCAGTCTAGTGGTAATGCCCAGACCGCACTCTGGCTGTGTGGCAGCAGGGGGTCAGTGTTCTAGGAAGTTGCATACTTGGGGGTGGAGTAAAACGCTTTCTTTCTAGGTGCAGTGAGGCCTGCCTGTCTTCTCAGCATACTGGGAGGCTGAGGCAGGAGGATGGGAAGTTTGAGCTCAGCCTGAGCAACTTAGTGAGAGCCTGTCTCAAAATAAAAAATAAAAAGGACCACGGATGCAGCGCAGTGTGAAGGCCTGGGTTCAGTCCCAGTGTTGCCCCTCCATCTGTGTTTCTGTCCCGTACTCCAAGGCCAGGGTGATCCTGGCACCCTGACACCCCAGACCCCCACCCCAGCCCACGTCGTTTCCACCCTGCAGGGCCATGTTCACGGGTGGCATGCGCGAGGCGAGCCAGGACGTCATCGAGCTGAAGGGGGTGTCGGCCCGTGGCCTGCGGCACATCATCGACTTCGCCTACAGCGCTGAGGTGACACTGGACCTGGAGTGCGTTCAGGATGTGCTGGGCGCGGCTGTGTTCCTGCAGATGCTGCCCGTGGTGGAGCTGTGTGAGGAGTTCCTCAAGGCGGCTATGAGCGTGGAGACCTGCCTCAACATCGGCCAGATGGCCACTGCCTTCAGCCTGGCCTCACTGCGTGAGTCGGTGGATGCCTTCACCTGCCGCCACTTCCTGCAGATTGCGGAGGAGGAGGACTTCCTGTGCCTGCCGCTCGAGCGCCTGGTTTTCTTCCTGCAGAGCAACCGGCTGCAGAGCTGTGCTGAGATCGACCTGTTCCGCGCGGCTGTCCGCTGGCTGCAGCACGACCCGGCCCGGCGGCCACGCGCCAGCCACGTGCTGTGCCATATCCGCTTCCCTCTCATGCAGTCCTCGGAGCTGGTGGACAGTGTGCAGACGCTCGACATCATGGTGGAGGACGTGCTGTGCCGCCAGTACCTGCTGGAGGCCTTCAACTACCAGGTGCTGCCCTTCCGGCAGCACGAGATGCAATCGCCACGCACCGCCGTGCGCTCTGACGTGCCCTCGCTGCTCACCTTTGGCGGCACGCCCTACACCGACAGCGACCGCTCTGTCAGCAGCAAGGTGTACCAGCTGCCTGAGCCAGGCGCCCGGCACTTCCGCGAGCTCACGGAGATGGAGGTGGGCTGCAGCCACACGTGTGTGGCCGTGCTGGACAACTTCGTGTATGTGGCTGGGGGCCAGCACCTGCAGTACCGCAGTGGCGAGGGTGCGGTGGACTCCTGCTACCGCTATGACCCGCACCTGAACCGCTGGCTGCGGCTGCAGGCTATGCAGGAGAGCCGCATCCAGTTCCAGCTGAACGTGCTGTGCGGCATGGTGTATGCCACCGGAGGCCGCAACCGCGCTGGCAGCCTGGCTTCCGTGGAGCGCTACTGCCCACGGCGCAACGAGTGGGGCTACGCCTGCTCGCTGAAGCGTCGCACCTGGGGCCATGCTGGCGCTGCCCTGGGGGGCCGCCTCTACATCTCGGGGGGCTACGGCATCTCGGTGGAGGACAAGAAGGCGCTGCACTGCTATGACCCCGTGGCCGACCAGTGGGAGTTCAAGGCCCCCATGAGTGAGCCCCGCGTGTTGCATGCCATGGTGGGTGCCGGCGGCCGCATCTATGCCCTGGGCGGCCGCATGGACCACGTGGACCGCTGCTTCGACGTGCTGGCCGTGGAGTACTACCTGCCTGAGACGGACCAGTGGACCAGTGTGATGCCCATGCGGGCTGGCCAGTCAGAGGCCGGCTGCTGCCTGCTGGAGCGGAAAATCTACATTGTCGGTGGCTACAACTGGCGCCTCAACAACGTCACGGGCATCGTGCAGGTGTACAACACTGAGACAGACGCGTGGGAGCGGGACCTGCACTTCCCCGAGTCCTTCGCGGGCATTGCCTGCGCCCCTGTCCTGCTGCCCCGGGCCGGGACCAGGAGGTAGCGCCGGCCACCCCCGCCAGGCCGCAGGTCCGGTGGTGCAGGGCCGATCCCTGCGCTGGCTCGCCGCAGCCTGGCTGGGCCCCCCGGTCCTCTGTCCTGCCCACCCTGACAGTCCCGGCTCCGCTCCTGCATTCTCCCCAGGTGGCTGCTGAGCCCTGCAGTCCTGTTGCACCGGACTGGGTCTCCCCATGGGATCACTGATGGGCCATGCCCACTGCCTGCCCTCCCTGCGGGACCGGAGCTCCTCGCCCCTTCCCGTCCCCCGTGTCCCTCTGCTTTGACACGCGCTCACTCCACCGCATGACGCGCTCATGGCTGGACGAGGAGGGGTGAGAGGAGCAGGCGGGGCGCGTGTCTGCCTTCCCCGGGGGCACACTGCCCTCCCAACCCTCCTGTCCTGGACCCCACTCCAAGAGACCCTACAAGCGCAGGCCCAAGCCTCAGTGCCCATCTGCCCGGCTCCTCCCTAGGGTGAAGGGGCCCGGGCTGGTTCATCCCCCAGCTGCCCAGCCCTGCCCACGGCGAGTTGACCGGCTGGGCCACCTGGAGGAGTGCAGGCTGGGCCAGGTCACTGCCTCCAAGGCTTTGCGGCTTCTCCACCACATTTGTTTTGATCTCGAAACCTCTCCTCTCTGTTTTGTTTTACTTTCTGTTTTTTTAAGGAGGCAGCACCGCTGTCTTCTAAATGAGATTTGTACTCTGGGGGCAGCTTAAAGTGTCTCTCTCGCTGCTAACAGACGATGGATGTCGTGTTTTCGCGACCCGCTCACCATGTAAAGGATTAACCTCGTACCTCTGCCGATGTCATCCCTTAATGTCTCCTTTTATTTAATAAAAATGTTATGGTGGAAAGATGGAAGCGGCCGGCACTGAGCCCGGGCAGCTCGGCTGATTGGTCACAGATTGGCAGGATCCTCCATGTGTCTGGGGCTCCTCTCCCGGCTGCAGAGGCTCGGGGGCTGGGCTCCCGGACAGCGGTGTCTGCCAGGGTCTCCACGTGGACCTGGGGGACAGGAGACGCTCCAGTGGGGCTGGGTGGCCTCGAGGGGCTGGGGAGGGTCTCTCCATGGCCTGGCCATGCCACTGGGCAGCCCTGGCCCCTGTAGTAGGTCTATCTCCAGCCTCTCAGTGCCAGCCCCAAGTGCTGACCATGGGCCATGGGAGGCGACACAAGGACAGTCCTCCAGGGAACGCGGTCGTTGCTGTCCCTTAGTGCCCAGCAGCTCCTCCTGGAGCCCCCAGCATGGTGCTCCGCTAGTGGCGTGACCCTGCTTTGCCTGCACACTTCGGGGGCAGTGCCAGATACCCCAATAGCCTCCAGGCCCGGGCGAGCAGCACTAGGTGGGGACCTGACTGGGAGCCAGGGGAGCTCTTGGTCAGGGTATGGGGATGAGAGCTCCCTCCTTTCCTGAGGCCTCAGCACACGCCGGCCCCGCCCCCGCCCGCTCCCCAAAAGGCTTCCCGCGGCAGGCTCAGCCCGCCAGGGGGCCAGAGGGGCCTCTGCCAGCTGCAAGTCCCCCATCAGCTCACACCTTGGAACATCTTGTCCCCGATGAGCTGGCAGGGGTGCCTGCGGGGTGGGGGCCGTCGCCCGCCGACAGCGCATAACCAAGCGGCTGTCCATGGAATGTCCTCAGCCCCCACCCCCGGAAGAAAGGAAAATTATTTTTCGTATTGTAAACTTTAAACACGAAAAAGCTGTTTTTAATTTAGCAGAAACTGGCTTGAATGTTCCCTCTGAAGGTCTGTGTGCTTCCGAGAAAGGCGGAACACGCCTGTGCGTACACACTCGCGAGCACACCTGCGCGCATGCGTGGCACCACGCGCGGGCACGCGGCCATGTGGAGCGCTGGGGCTTGCACGTGCACACGCAGCCGTGGACTGCACATCTGCTCCTCCACACATGCGTGCACACACAGGACACTCGCACTCTCCACCAGCCCGGGTCCCTGGGGGCTTGGAGCCCGCACCTCCCCAGGGCCGCAGCATCCTGTGGCCGGGCCTCCCCGCCAGGCCTGGCCGCGCTCCTGGGGAGCCTTCCTCCGCACCTGGGCTCCGGCTGTGGGAAAACGCCGTCCCGAGAGGGGCCGAGCGCGACTCTGGGGCCTCACAGCCAGCGAAGGAGGGCCGGGGGGGCCTCCGGGGAGCCAGTGAGGTGGGGTCCGCCCAGCAGTAAGCGCCAAGTCCCGGCTCTCACGGCCCGAGGGCGCCCTGCACGGAGCCCTGACTGGGCCTTCCCGGGCCTGGTGCTGCCCACGAGCCAATGGCACCAAGGCGTCCTGGGTGAGCAGGCGAGGAGAAAGCCAGCACCCCTGGGCACCGTGTGAGTGGAGGCCCCGGGCAGGAGGGCACCCAGCTCGCCCCCCCGCCCCCCCCCAGCTCACCCAGAACCTGATTTGCTTCCAGCAGCGCTGTGCCCAGTCCTGGGGGCTGATTTAAGATTCCCCTGAGCCTTTCTTGGCCGGGCCTTTTGCCGGGGTTGTTTCCATCTGGGCACGTTTCCCAGCTCTGGCCAGCAAACTTTGAGGGGTTGGGTGTTTCTGGACAAGGGAGAGGCCTTGTTGCCCCTTCTCTCCCTGACTGCTTCCTATGTGGAAACAATGCCAGGAGCTTCTGCAGCCATCTTGTGGCCATGAAGAGCAAGTTAAGAGAGGAACAGAGGCGGTCCCTCCCCAGGTCCCTGAACTCCCAAGGACGCCAGTTGCTTCCTGTCTCCTGGCCCCAAGACTCCTTGTAATGAGAAATAACAATGCCTGCCCTGCTTAAGATATTCTGATACTCGCAACCAAACACTCGAAGTTATAACTGAGGCAAGCTGGAGTCTCTCCATCATATGTGAGTCAGGATTTTTATTTGCAAGTAACAGGAGCCAATGTAAGTAGCCCAAGCATGTGCTAGAAAACTGCTATTTCTCAGAAGCAGCAGGACGGTTGGAAAGCACACAGAGAAAACAGTAGGCATCAGAGCTGCACCAGGTGGCGCATGTCTGTGCTCCCAGGTACTCAGGAGGTTGAAGCAGGAGAATGGAAATTTCGAGGCCAGCCTGGGCAACTTAGTGCGATGCTGTCTCAAATGAAGACTATAAAGGGCTGGGGTGTGGCTCAGTGGCAGAGCACTGGGAGAGGGCTTGTGAGCACCTGGACTCGGTCCCCAGCCCTGGAAGAGAAGGAAGAAGAGCAAAGAAAAGTCAGCTGTACTTCTCCGTCAGGGCACTTCCTGTGGGCAGGTAGGTGGGGCCGTGGGCGTCCTGGGTTTGGGGCATCAGAGAAGGGATCTAGATCGGGAGGCCACTGGGCTCAGCTGGGTTTCAGGACACGCACGGCACTGTGGGTGTTCCCGGGAGCTGTCCTCAGATGTCCCTCAGGTCACTGCCATCTGTCCCCAGAGGTGGCCTGAGCCCAGTCCCGTCTCACCCTCTGCCTGTCCCACCAAGGGTGGGCCTCATGCCTGCTTTTTAAAAAATATATATATAAGGGATTGAACCCAGGGCCTTCATACTGAGCTACATCCCCAGTCTTTTCTATTGTTTCTTTCTCTTCTTTCTATTGTTTATTTTCATTTATTTATTTAGAGACAGTGTCTGGCTATATAGTTCAGGCCGGGCTCGATCCTCCTGCCTCAGCCTCTGGATTGCTGGGATTACAGGTGTGGGCCACCATGCCTGGCTTTTTTCTTTAACGTTTTGAGACAGGATCTTGGTAAGTTGCCCAGCGTAGGCTCTGACTTACAACCCTCCTGACTCAGCTTCCCAGGTTGCTGGGATTTCAGGTGCGCACCACTGTGCTGGGCTTGTTTTGGCTTCTGGTTTTTGGTGGTGCTGGGGCTGGAACCAGGCAAACGGCCCTCACAGAGTCGCAGTGCAGCCCACGCTGCTCTCTGCAGAGGCCTGGTGTGGGAGCCAGGGGCAGACCTGGGGGGTTTCTGTGCTCCAACTTGGGTGGCTCAAATTCACCTCCACACAATGTGGGCACCCCAAAGAGACCACAGTCCCTTATAAGGAGAACCGGGAAGGTGGCACGAAACGTAATACTTCCAAGTGGCACCTTGCTCCCCTAGCAGCTGCCAAGCTGAGTGCTTTGCACCCGTTATCTGTTTAATCTTCCTGAAAGCCTGCTCCAACAAGTGCCATTTTCTATATTTAGCGGGGGGAGGACAGCAAGGCTCAGGGAGGACAATAGATGAGGTCTTGGCTGAGTTTTGGGTTTCCCATAACGTACCTTTGAGGCCTGCTGGGGTGCGGGTGCAGGGGAAAGGGCCGTCCAGGGAGCAGGGTGAGCCATGCAAAGGTCCTGGGGCAGGGTGCAGTAAGGCTGGGGTAGAGGGAGTGCGCACGGAAGGTGGGGTGCTGTTGGGGAAGTTGGCAGGTACAGATGAGCCAGCTTGAGCTATGATACAGAGGAGACAAAACTAGATCCAGATGTGGTTTGTAAGATGTGCTCTGAAACTCCAGGGAAGCTCTCCAGCACCTGGACTCTCCTGGCCTTCCGGGTACAGGGCCAGCCAGAGAGCGAGGCAGGGAGGGTGGGCCTAAGTGGAGGGACCCAGTTCTCCTTGGACCCCAGGTCTGTCTTCTAGAAGAGGGGACATGTGAGATGGGCTTTAAGGGCTGAGCAGGAGTTTCTCAGACTCGTTCAGTGAACCCTATGCCTGGGGAAATAGAACGAGGTTCGATGGGTATAAAACGAGCCCCAAGTTCTCAGACCCTTTAGGGAAGAGGGAAAACACCACCAGCCTCTAAGCTCAGCTCAATCTATGGGGAGGAGGCGACGCCAGAGAGCGCTGTGTTCCGGGTTACGGATGCGTCGCTGCAGGCCACCTCCTGTGGACAGGAGAGGCCTGGCCGACGACGAGGTGCCAGGCACAAAAGGACAGCAACCCGTGCAGAGGCAGTGGTGCTCGGAGACCTGCAGGGGATCGGCTGGGGAACAGGGGGGTGAGGGCTGAGGGTGTGGGCTGGGCGGCCCGGGTGGTGGGAGTGGGGTCAGCCCGGCTCACAGAGACCACAGGCAGCTCAGCCACTCTGAGTGGCCCTGACTTCCTGTGAGGGAGGAAGGGAGGAAGGGAGGGAAGGAGGCCGTGGAAGCTTCAGGCCTGGATTCTGCCCCTGCTGCCCTCCTCCCCGCCTGGGGTCAGCGGAGCAGGAGAACCCGGGTCAGGATCCTGGCATCACGGGGTGAGCAGGGTGGCGCTTCTGCTGACCACTGGGGTTCTGGTGACCCGTGGCATGCCCGGTGGCCCTGGTGGCCCAGTGGAGTGAGGAGGGGTGCTGCAGCCTCTCACTTCTTTTTCTTTTGAGACAGGGTCTCTTGCTAAGTTGCCAGAACTGGGCAACTTAATGGGCCCGAACTTGGTGAGCCTCCTGCCTCAGCCGCTGGAGATTACAGGTGTGCACCTGGGATTACAGGTGTGTACCACCTTGTCTGTCAGTCCAACACTTCTTCTGGGCCAGGCAGGTGAGCTCTGCAGTCAGGCTGAGGTCCATCCTGGCTCATGGACTTGCTTAACTTGCTCTGAGCAGTCGCTGTCCCTGCCCCGTTCCCCTGTGTCCTCTCTGACCTCAGCAGGGTGGCCAGGACCAGAAGCCCCGTATGCAGCATGCCCAGCCCAAACCCGGACACACGGAAGCTGTGGTCTTAGTGCCAGGGCCCAGAAATGACTGTCAACTAAACTTAACTCAACAAGGGAATACATTTCTGGCTCATCACCAAAAAGGCAGACAGGGGTAAAGAGCTGCAGGAATAGCTTGATCCAGGCACTCAGATGACATCTCCTGCCACTTCTTTTTTTTTTTCTTTTTCTGGTATGGGGATGAAGTGCAGTGCCTTGCACATGCTAGGCAAATGTTCTACCACTGAGCTATATCCCCAGGCTTTACTCATTTATTTATTTTTGCAGTCCCTTCACGCTGAGCTACATCTCCAGGCTCCCCTTCCCCATTTTTTATTTCGAGACAGTGTCCCACTAAGTCGCTAAATTGCCCAAGCTAGGGTAAAACTTGTAATCCTCCTGCCTCAGCCTCCTGAGTGCTGGGATGACAGGTGTGTGCCACCACACTTAATTTTTTTTTTTTTTTTTTTGGTACCAGCGATCAAACTCAGGACCTTGTGCTTGTGAGGCAGGTGGCGGCACCACTGAGCTAAATCCCTGGCCCAATATTTTTTGTTTTGAGACAATGTCTCGCTAAATGGCCCAGGCCTTGCTACCTTTGGGGTCCGTTTTTCTCTGTGCAGGCCCCTCCTCTTCACGTGGTGACCTGTAGCAGTGCAGACTCCTATCAATCAGCCTTTAGATCAGATGGCCAAAGAAACAGGGTCTTCTCTTTCCCACGGTTCAAAGAAAAGTTCCAGAATTGCGTCTCATTGGGCGAGCAGCATCATGGTCACGATGGATGTAGCATTGGGCTGTGCTGATTGGCCAAGTCTTTAGGGCGGGGTCCTTCCAGTTTAGAGTGGGGGGAGGCGGCGTGGCCAGGCCGGCATGGTCCGGGTCTCAGGTACTGAAAGTCCAGGGAGTTCCCGGAAGGACTGTTTTCTACATCAGAAAGGTAGGAAAGGGGGTGGTGGTGCTTATTAGGCAATAAAAGTGCATGGAAATGCTTAAAGTCATATGAACAAAAAAAAATCTAAAATAGGGAAGTGGCAAATGCCCAAGCAACTCTAAATGAAAATCTGTGTATGCATATGTATTTAATATGGACATTTTTTTTCTTTTGGTGCCAGGGATCGAACTTGGGTCCTTGTGCTTAGCAAAGCAGGCGGCGGAACCACTGAGCTAAATCCCCAGCCCTAATATGGACATTTTATTAAGCTCATAAAACCTGAGTAGAAGCATGCTTCGAAAAAGTTGGTGTCCTCTGTAATCTCCGTCAGCATCCCCTCCACCATCCCTCACTCTAGGATAAAATGAATCAGGGACCACACCCCCTTCCCCGGCCAGCCCTTCCTGCCTCCCACTCTGCAACCCCGGAGTCCCGGAATCTGGATCTTCGTATTGGTGGCCGGGGTCCCCCTGGTTGCAGGCACACAGTTAGATGTTCCCTCCCCGCGATCGGGGAGACCCCCCTCCCCCCGGGGCACTGACGGCTGTGGGTGAGGTCCCCGTGGCGTCCCCACCGCAAGGCAGAAATCCTGGGTCAAGACCGGGGGCTGGAGAAGCAAGTAGTGAGGAGGCTGAGCCTCTGTGCCTCCGTAATTCCGCTCGGGGTTGAAGTATGTGAGGGGTAAGGAAAAGGAAGGTGTGGGGGTGATCCTGCGTCTATGGATGGGGCTGAGGCCGAGGGTCCCCTGAGGACCCTGGTAGTCCTCATGTCGCCCACCAGTGGTCTTCTCGGCCATTCGTGGGTGTTGCCCGCCCCTCCCCCACTGTGCACCCCGAAAGGGGCCACGTCTGCTTGCCACGCAGTAGGCGCTTCACACCCGTGGAGTGAACAAATGGGGTTGAATGAATGAAAGCATGCGTGAATGACCAACATCCCGAACTGGAGCCAGAGTTCTGGGTCGGCGCCCAGGCTCAGTCTCAGGTGTTTGCTGCCTGTTCGTGGGGTGTGGCTGCCCACCCTTGTGAATTGGGAGGACGTGGGTCAGGCTGTCTCTTTTTTGGGGGCTCGGGCACCTCAAACCCTTCGCCAACTTTGGCATCAGCCAGGCGGCCGCTGTCCAGCTGGCCAGGCGGTGGATCATTGCGCCTGCGCCGAAGTTCCCACTCTTTCCTCGCTCCCCCGCTCCGTCCGTCTCCAGCGCGTCTTCCAGGCGCGCGCATGCGCTATCGCCCCCGCGCCAAGCGCCGCTCCTGTGCGCCTGCGTCGCGCTCACACCCGCCGGTACGCCTGCGCCCTGCTGGCCGCTCGTGGGCCCAGCCGACGCCTGCGCGGTGGCGCGGGCGAGTGGGGGGGCGAGGAGGTGGTGGTGGTGGAGGAGGAGGAGGAGGCGGCGGCGAGAAGATGGCGACTTCGAACAATCCGCGGAAATTCAGCGAGAAGATCGCGCTGCACAATCAGAAGCAGGCGGAGGAGACGGCTGCCTTCGAGGAGGTCATGAAGGACCTGAGCCTGACGCGGGCCGCGCGGGTAAGGGGGCTGCCGGCGCCGATCGGGCCGGGAGGGCGCGGGGAGGGGGCGCGTGTCCGGCGCGTGCACGGGGCGGGGGCGGGGCGCGCGGCGGGGGCGGGGCCTACGCGGCCCGCAGGGACAGGTGTTCCCCCTCCCCCGCCCGGAGAGAGAGTCGTGGGCGGTGCGGGTCCCGCCGCGTCCGTACCTGGGCGGGCAGGTGCTTCTCGGTGCACTCCATCGTGGTCATTGCATCGTTACTACCGGGAGAGAACAGGTGCCACTATTCCGCCGTTACCTGAAGGGGACAGCCATCCCACGTCGTTACTACCTGGAGGGGCAGTGTCCCATATCAGGACTTCAGCAGGGGCCAGGTACCCCTACGCCATTGCCACCTGGGGGCACAACGGGTGACACTGGAATGTAGCAGCTGAGTGCTGCTGGCAAGCCTCACTGTGAGCTGGGAGGTGAGCTGCAGGCGCTCCTGCATCGTGGGTACCCAGGCAGGACCAGGGCTTCATCGTTGCCACTTGGGAGGGCCTGCTTCTCATACATCTTTGGGACCTGGGAGGGACAGGTGTCCCCGCATGTTGGGACCAGAGGGGAACAGCTGCCTCTGCATCATTGCCACCTGAGGGGGAAGGGCGTTTACATGGTTGTCACCTCTGTCCTACTTGGATATTGGCAGGGGCAGACCTGTGGTGGGACAGGCATCCTTCTCAGGAGACATCTCGGGGAAGTCAGCTGCTGTCCCCCGTGGGGACCTGGCGAGGGTTCTAGAAGGTGCTGAGTCCTGGAACTTGGGAGGGAGACAGCTGTCCCTTTCCCATGCAGCTCCTATGATGGGGATCGGGTGATGTGCCTCCCAGTGGGACAGGGACAGCTGGCCACACGTGGACCAGGGTAGAGGGACAGGTCTGCCTCAGCTTGGGGGCACACTTGGCCCTGCGTGTCACCTGGCAGCTGTGTGGCTGGAGCTGGGGCCTGGCTGGAATGGAGTACAGAGCCTGGCGGCTCCGGGCCCTGCGTCTCTGCTGTCCTGACTTCTTTCTTTCCTTGTTCCTGGCAGGACCCTGTCCTGCACCGCGGGGCTCAGGGAAGGTATGTGTGGGGGCTGCTCACTGCAGTCTTGTCCCTCAGGTGGAAGTTTTGGATCACATTATTTTATGATGAGTTGCTCTCCCCCACTGTCGCCTGTGGCCTAGGGAGTGTCTTCTTTGCACCATGCGTTCATTTAGCATACCTCTGTCTGCGTGCTCACCCTTGGCCGTCACTACCTCGAGTGTGCTCAGGGCCACCTCTGTCCCTGCTCCAGGACGTTGAGGAAGAGAGGCCACCCCATCACTTCCCCGACCCCGGCATCTCTGATCTGCTTCCCTCCCTATGGCTGTGCCCGCTCTGGACTCGTGTCCGTGGGATCACACACCGTGTGGCTGTGTGTCTGGCTGCTGTCACTCAGCATCGTGTTTCCTGGGTTAACCTGCGTTGTAGCACACGTCAGTTTCTTGTTGCTTTTCAAGGCTGAGTAGTATTCCTTGGATGGCTATGTCATGTATGTGGATGTCCTCTTTGGTCAGTGCACTTGGAAAGATTTGAGGGTATGCCAATGGCAGTTCTCCTGGCCCTTGTCCACATTTCCCATCTCCCCCCTCCCTGTCTCTGTTGCCTCCTTTATACCTGGTGGGGAGCCACAGACCCTGGGCTGAGGTGAATTTACACTGGACATAGAGAAATGGTGGGGTTTTCTAGGGGGTGATTCTGCAGCTGCTCTCCAGGGGACACTTGGTGACACTGTAGGCATTTTAGGTCATTGTAGCCACCCGCAGCTGCTGGTGCCCAAAGGGTCCATGCCCTGCTGTCTGGGCCCCAAGGCTGTGACACCTACAGCAGATGGTGACCCTGCTGTGCTCCAGAGTTGGGCTCTGCACCATGCCCCATGTCCCATGGGCTGGCTGGGACCAGCACAAGCAGGCTCAGGTCTGGCCTGGGGGGCAGTTGCAGGTGCGTGGGTCCCCCTTCTGCCCTCCCTCAGTGGCCCCCTACCACCTGCCCCTGTATGGACACCAGGCTGCTTGCACCTGCAGACAGGTGAGGCGGACAGCAGCCCTTTGCCACAGGGGTTGGGTCCTCTGCAGGGAGGGCCACTTGCAGTGTTGGGAGAGCTGCAGCCCTCTGCTATGTGACGCTGGACAGGTTTCTTAACCTCTCTGGGCCTCAGAATCCTGTGGAGTTAGGGCAGCTCATTCATCCACTCAGTGAGTTTTTGCACTGTGGCGCAGCTAAGGTGGTGTTGGGTGTGGGGACCTGGAGCACACAGGGCATGCGGAGTTGGCGTCTGGGGAGCTGGCGTGGTCTCAGGAGGGAGAGGAGAGAGGGCTGTGGATGTGTGGTGGAGAGGAAGTTGCGTGATGCGAGAGGTGGCTACCATGAGGGGTGGCGGGCCCTCCCCTGCTCAGAGCCGGCTGGACACCTGGGACCGGATGGGCGTAGGTGGAAGCTGGGCACCATTGACGGTGGGGAGGGGCTGACCCTCGGCTTAAGTGGTCCCAGCATCCTCTGGTGCAACCGACGGTGGATCAAAAGTATTTGAAAAGTAAAAATGGTGCCTGAGTGAGGCATGGTGGCACACACCTGTCATCCCGGCACTTGGGAGGCTGAGGCAGGAGGATCAAGAGTTTTGAGTCCATCCTGGGCAACTTTGCAACTTGGCAATACCTTGTCTTAAAAAATAAAAAAGGCTGGGGATGCAGCTCAGGGCAGAGTCCCTGGATTCAATCCCCAGCACCAAAAAAACCAAAACCAAAAACAAAAAACCCCCCAAAACCACAAAAGTAGGGCTGGGGATTTAGCTCAGAGGTTTCAGCACCTGCCTCGAAAGCTCAGGGTTCTGAGTTCAATCCCCAGTACCAACAAACAAAAAAACAAAAGTCTCTACAGAGCTCGCATATGGGAGGCTGCCTGCATTGATAAGGCTAGTGACCAGGCTAGTGGCCTGTGGACTTTGGGGCCCTCTGGGGCTCCTGGAGCTGTCCCCTCAGTGGGTCGTCAAGTGTGCAGCTGTGTAGCTGTCACCAAGGGAACCTCGCCCCTTCCCCAGCCCCTGGCCTGTCGGCCACTAACTGGCTTTCTGTCTGGATTCCCCTGTTTGGGACATTTTGTATCAGTTCAGTCACACACCATGTGGTCTTTATGTCCAGGTCTGTCACCTGGCAGCATGTTTTCGAGGTCCATCTGTGTCATATCCTAGGTTAGTGTTTTCTTCCTTTTTAAAATGTTTGGAGGGGCCGGGGATTTAGCTCAGTGGTTTCGCCACCTGCTGTGCAAGCGAAAGGACCCGAGTTCATTCCCCGGTACCAAAAAAAAAAAAATGTTTGGAGGCAAGATAGATACAATATGAAACTGATCACCTTAATTTTCAAGTGTAGAATGCAAGACCTGGGCACGGTGGTGCACCCCTGTAATCCCAGCGCACAGAAGGCTCAGGCAGGAGGGTTGCAAATTCCACTTCTTCCTGGGCGACATATTGAGCTGCTTTCTCAAAAAAGAAAAAAAGAAAAGAAAAAAAAAGGAAAAAAGGAAAGAAAAAGTGTAGGGCTGATGGGCATAAAGTACACATGCCAGTCTCCGCCGCTCCTCAGCACACTCCTCCCTACAGCTGCACACTGCCTGTTACACAGTCTGTCGTGTTCCTCTGTCACCTGCACTTGCACAGTGGTGGTTTCCACCTTCTCGCTGCTGGGAACCATCCTGCTATGGGCATTGATGTCTCTTTATTTTTTGTAGCACTGGGTGCTATGTCCCCAGCCCTTGCCATTTTTCATTTTGGGACAGGATCTCACAGAGTTGCCCAGGCCTCACACTTGGGTTCCTCCCACCTCAGCCTCCAGAGTAGCTGGGACGACAGGTGTGTTTGGTGGACACGGGTTGGTGTCCCGCCGGCCTGTACCGAGGAGTGACATTGCTTGGTGTCTGTCACTCCCCCAGGAAGTGGCCACAGTTGTGAGCAGCGTGGACCTGGGGTGCGTGCCCGCCTTGGCATCCAGGTTGGGGCCGACCTGAGTGGGGTGACCACCAGTGAGTGCATGTTGGCGGTTTTGTCAGCAGAGCCGCCAGACGTGAGGGAAGGGCTGGGGCCCGGGACAGGGAGTCTGTCAGTGACTGCCACTGAGCAGGTGGGCCTGAAGGTCTCTGGTTAGCCAGGCACAGTGGCACACATTTGAGGTCCCAGTTACCTGGGAGGCTGAAGCAGGGAGTCACTTGAGCCCGGGTGTTTAAGACTAACCTGGACGACAAACATGGTGAACGCTTGTCACAGAAAGATGGTAAAGTAGGCTGGGGATGTAGCTCAGTGGTTCCAGCGCCTGCCTTGCAACCGCAAGGTCCCGAGTTTGATCCCCGGTACCCAAAAAATAGTAAAATAAAAGAAGAGCCCGTGGTGCCCTGGCCTGGGTCTTCACCGAGACAGTGGGGGCTCTGTACCACCCTGTCCAAAGCGGGCCCCGGGCTCAGGTGGCGGAGCGAGGAGGCTGGCCCCACACTGGCCTCCGTTCCAGGACTGGCACCGGCACTGTCCCCTCCAGGCCAGCTGCTGCACTGCCTGGGCCATCTGCGGCCTCGGCCCCCGCACGGCGCCCATGAGTGCAGTCCTGACGGTGGTGCCCCGGTCCCTCTGCCCGTGGAGCCCTGCTGCAGGCTGAGTGTTGGCCCGAGAAGCCTTTGCCTGCACCGGGCCCTCGTTCCACCATTGCTGGGAGCTCCAGGGACGTGAACGGCCACCTGTGTGTGGCACAGAGTGAGCGTTTTGGCTTGTGGCTTTCTTTAGGCCACACTGGGGGTGACATCCAGGGTCTTGTGCACTCCAGGCAAGTGCACTGCCACTAACCCACAGCCTTGCCCTTTTGTTGAGTTGAGATGGACTCTTGCTGAGTTCCCCAGGTTGCCCTGGCCTTAGATCCTCCTGCCTCAGCCTCCCAAGTAGCTGCAGACAGGGTGTGCTACCATGCGTGGCTTGGATGGAGCAT